TTTGATTGTGTAGTTATTAGTAACTTAGTAATTTAAGTAATTGTTCCTGAAAAGCCCCATTGGGGAGGTAACAATAAAGTATGTATGTATGTATGTAAGAGAATGCAGTCCGACACTCGTCCGACAGCACATGCAAGAAGTGATTACGATCCACTTTTCTGCTATAACTGTTGGTAAGTCTCTGGTCTAATACTGTAGCGTGTGTGACTTTCGGTTTAAAGACCTCAGTTCCATCGATTGTAATCTGCCCACCGGTTGCCAACAATTTGTCGACTTTGAATCCAGCTGTCACTTGGAACCAAGTGACAACCGCAAATACGTCTGCGTTCGCAGGCTAGTGGGGCACCATTTTCTATGGAAGGTAAATGAAAGCTTCTCACTCAAAATAGTATATGAAAGGGTGATGATTAGGACTTTGTTGGGTACCCTTCACCCTAAGGGGATGGGAGGAATAATGTCATGCTGGACGATCACGAAGCGAAGAACCAGAATTTACCGGATTGTCTTTTTTTTTTTTTAATGAAGGAAAATCACTTTGGGAATATCCTGGGAAACAATATATATCTTACCCTGGCACCAGACGTTTTCTCTTACCTTTTTCTTAGTCTTCCCTTCTGCTGCAGAAAACCTCTGGAACCTCTGTAGCCTGCAGAACGGGCGAATTAGAGGGGCAGAGAGCGCTTCGCGGCACGGTTTGGTGTATTGTGTCATGTGACATGGTTATCAGTAAACCTCATCATTGACGTTTACAGTCTTACTTAAGTTAGCGGTTGAATTTGTTTTTGCAGTTGAATTCCTCAGGAGCAACTACCATGGCGGGAAACGTCCAACCCTAGATGCAACATACTCTTAGGCATCAGCGGATGGTCAGAACACCAGAGTAAGGAGACCGTCAGTGGACTGGTAATAACGGTCGTCACCGAGCAGTGTTGCGGGGTGACGTCGATGCAGTTTGCAGGAATCACAAACGTGAGTGACGTGAATGCAAAAGGGGAAACGCCACTTCACTTAGCAGCTTGGAACACATCAGACGCAGGCGTCAATCTCGTTGAAATGTAGTTGTTAAAAGGACCGAGGATATATCAACTGCCAAAATAAATAGGGACAGACACCTCTTCATTATGCCGCTATCGCAAATCGTTTTGAAAACTTACTAAGGTTAACAGCGGTGCCAAATGTTGATGTGAACATCACAGATCTAAATGCATACAATGCTCTGCATTGTTTGATCTGCTCAGATGAGAATCCAAGTTTGGATTTCTTTGGAGACACAGACGTCGAGGAAGAAGTTTCTTCCGATTTGAAACAAGCCGGATTCACGCCCTTGTAAAAGCTGGAACGAAGATCAACTCCCAGACTAAATGTGAACACACCATCCTACATCTGGCTTTCACTAGAGATAACAGTTCTCCGTTGTCAAAATATATTCTTCCAAATTTTCCAGAAATTGATTTGAAAGCGAAAAACCAAATGGGTGAGAAGTTCTTACAAGTCTACGCTGGATCGGACATTTTTGAAGAAATTTCTGATTTGTTGGATGAAGTTGCAGAGGCGAACTTGCCTATCGTGAGAGAACTGTTGAATGATAAAAATGTTCTGGGTAGAACGCCTTGGACTAACATGATAGATGATGCCGGCAAATGTTTCGGAAGAATTCATCAAGAAGATATTGTCATACGGAGTCTCCGTAAACACAGTCGACAATATCGGGAATACAACACTTCATAGGATAGGCTTGTCAACTAGTATCTTTTATTCCGGAACAATTGATTTGCTTATGGCAGATGGTGTCAACATCACTGCTGAAAATGTCTACAGAGAATCTCCTGGATTTGGTTTGTTTCTTAGTGAAGTTTTTGAGATGGATTTCAACACAAGGGAGAAATGGGTCACAGTACGTTAGTTTCTGTAATGAAACATAGGCCCTTCCAGATCTCCTCAGAAAACTTCTTGTGGAAGGCAAAGGAGATCGATGTCAATGCAAGAGATGTTCATCTCCACTCCTCTTCATTTGTCACAATTATCCGGAGCAAGTAGAATAGTTGCGGAGTTTTAGAGCTGACCAAAACGCCCTGGATGAATTAGGAAATAAGCCCCTGGATACTACTATACGACATCGCACTTTGCAGTGCCATAAGATTCTAGATGTGGGTGACGAGAATGCTGCAGAGACCCCCAAGAATGAAAAATTTGCGCAAATCCTTGTAAACATGCCAACGTCGATTCCTTCTTCCAGTATTAAGTCTGCACAAAATGTACAGACAGTACTTGGGTTGCAAGAGAACTTAGATGGATTTATTGATCATTTAATGACGACGTTCTACCTTAGACGGCCAGAAGCTGCGGAGTTGGCAGAAGCGGTTGTGTCAGCAGTCAATTCCCTCGTCGAGTCCCTGTGTGTTAAAATTGCTACGTATGATTCTTGACAAACTGAACGACAAGACTACAATTTCGTGGACAAGATGGAGGTGCTTAGGGGAAAACCGGTGTTCAACTTCAGTGTATATTGGATGGGATCGATATTCAAACAATTCAGTGAAGATCAGCATAGATCTAGTACCGGCGGTCTACAAAAGAGGATTGTTGCCCCCAATATCAATGTCAAAGAAATCTCTCTCATGAATGAAAGCATGTTTACTGCAGGATGTTTCCTGATGCTTCAGACAAGAACACAGGACTTTATGGGGATGAAAGCACCTTTGTGAAAAGACGAATGTTGCCTATCTCGGTTACGCCTGCCGAGATAACTCTAATTAAATCCTTACCAGAAACATTTCGTCACGCCTATGCCCTGGCGAAGATAGTTAAAACTAAAGAGGTGTGTTCAAAAATTGAGATTGACAATCTACCAACGTGACTTTATTCGAGACAGAAGAAATCCAAGAACGAACACCTCTCCCAGTCAAACCATCTGGATTGATAAAAAGCTACATGTTGAAGAACTGCACATTTTATGTTCTGCAAGAAATACGGCATGGTTCAGAGTGCGATTCAGATCTGACGATTTCTGAAGTCGCTGCAAAGGTGTGCAAGCGTCTTTGCAATTTGCCGACGAACATTTGTCTGAAGCCATATTTTCTGCCTTTTTCGGACGTCTTTTAAGCTGAAAAAGAAGGGCCGAAGTCTTCTTATGAAGAGTTCGTGCTACAACTCAGCGGTGAGTTGAGTTTAAAGCTTATTCTCGGAATACTTAATCATCAATTTCCTGAAATTTTGCTTAGCAGCCAAATCTGAAGGACTGCCTTTATGTTAATTGTGACGCTCGTAAAAGCTTGAAGTAGGATAAGTCTTCTAAATAAACGCTGTCGAGTGTATAACTGAAAGTGAAACATCAACACGGATCTCTGGTTTTTCGTTTTCCTCAAGTATTGTTACGTACAGTATATATATTCTTTAAAACCATGCCATCTAGGAAGGATTATCAGTAACACAATGATTGTGTTATTCCTTGGGCATGTTATGGAGGTACCACTGTAATTTGAAAAACACCTAGTGTTAGAAGAACACCTAGGGTAGTGAGCTATTGATAATCATATGTTTAACGTATTATGTTAAACGGTAAGTCCGTGCCAATCGTAGGGATCGTTAGAGGGCCGGGAGATGGCTCATCGAGCGGAGGCCTAAGGCGTAATCCCACTTTCGTTGAGCAACAAGGATAATTACCACCCTCTCTAAATGGGTTGCTTGTCTATCACAATGTACAGTCAACTCTCTCTAAGACGGACACCATCGGGACCGGCCTCAGCTGTCCGCCTTAGAGAGGTGTTCGGCTTGTAGAGAGTCGACGTAACATGACCCCAGCAATTTTAAGATAATAATGCTGAACCTGTGCATAGTGAATACGCGTCTGTTTAAAGTTTGTTTAAAGTTATTTACTTAAACGAAACCTACAAACTGGAACAAAAACGTATTTATAAAATTGAATCTCTTGTCGTATTACAATCAATAGTTAACGGGTTAACTGGAGTCCAAACAGTGTACAGTACATTCTGCAAAAGGGAACATAACCATCTTATGACTCAGGACTGTCTTTTGAGGCACCAAGTCTAAAAAGATGTCATTTTTTCTAAAAAAAAATTGGTAAAAGCAAGTTGAGTTAACAGCTTTTCTTCCGTAAATCGTAATTTGCGGTCACATTCAGCACCTCACAAGTGTCCGTTGACGATTTCAGTGTCCGTCTTATGGAGGTGTCCGTCTCATAGAGAGTTTGGTTGTAGTAAAATGACTGAGAAACGGCCGGGACCAGCACCAGGTGTCCGTTAAGAGAGTCGACTGTACTCCTTGCCATCCTTTAAAGTTCTCCGAACAGTTGAATTTGTACTCATATATACACTCCTAGGTGGATTGGGGCTCTACGAGAGAAACGTTTCTGCTCAAAACTACATCACGACCCAGGTCAAGAATTTCATCAAGTTTACCTAGCTTGATTTGGACACACTGACTTGTCCACTAACAGTTCACACAGAGGGACAACCATGATTTTGAGGGGTTAAGTCCCCCACCCCCTTCAATTCAAACTAGTCTGAAGTCGTATGACGTCGCAGGGATACAAATTTGGCACAGCATGGACTAGTCACAGGGACTTGTCTAATCGTGGGCCAACCTTTACGCTGCCTTACCGTTGTGACCACCCTTACCAGGCAAGAATAGCGGGTGCATCCAACAGGTTTGCCGGACACGAGGCAATTGACCTCTAGTACAGAAAGTTCATAAAAAAGTTTCTGTTACATAAAGGTGTTTAATGAGATCTTTGATTGACTTCTATGTACATCAACATAATAGTAATATATTTTCATGAATTAATTTAAATTCCTTGATAGCTTGACGGTCAGGTTTTGTACATTACACAAGAATATAGGAAATCCAGGTTTTTTTTAATGAACCATAATACATTAAAAGCACAACTGAGTATGCCTAATGAATCGTGCTTTGCAAAGATACACTTTGTAGCGATATTTTCCAAACGTACATGATTAATTATGTATCAATTGCAACTTAACCATAATACCATAGCAGCATCGTAAACGGAAACAAATTATCGCAAAAGAATCTTTCTAATAAGCCTTCCACTGTGTACAGAATAGAAAGACTTAGCAATGAGAACATAAGGTCCAGCCGAAAAGCGTGTACATAACGTTGACAAATTAAATGCTTCGATTGCATCGTGAAACCTACAAAGCGCGGTTGGGACAAAGTGAGGACCAAGAAATGAGAAGCCAGAATTTTTCAGACTGATATGTACCAATTAGGCACGAAGAGGATCATGTCATTATTTAGACTATTCCAAATGCTTGATGTGGAATAACTCGCGAATACAGCTGCCTCTCATCACTGACTCCTTGCCGGTTTGCCAGAGATCCGTGTGGTGGCAATGGCTGCTTGCTGCTCAGTAAGGAGTGTCTGCTCATTAAAACCATTGCACAAATAACTCAGTGAGAAATTGTTAATATTTTATGTAAGTAATTAACTAATATTTATTTACAAACCATTCCCTATAATAAAGCTAGAATCTCTGTTATGACTCAGTAAGTCTGTTACTGTCAAGTATGTATGTCATTGGTATGCAAGTTTTCATTTAATTCTTCTTAAAATAATAACTTTATACAAGTAGTGTGTAATAATTATAGATTGGATTTGTTTAACTGGTGCGTTGTGAATAATTAAGCTTCTATTAATGACTATCCTCTCTATTTAAATTAAATTTTCTCTCCCTCACTTAGCCTCAGCACGTCTTCATTCCTTCATTACTAATTACTTCATCAGCCTAATGTTGATACCAGATTAATCAGAATATCGCAGTCATTTATAGTTAACTAAAACTCTTGAATCTCCAAGTCATTTTCTATGATGACAGCATCTGTTTCATTGTGTCTGTCATCACTATTCTCCTTGTCGTCATCAATGCCATCATGATCATGATCATCGTCATCGTCATCGCTGCTTTCAGTGGCCTCTGCATGTTGATTCTCTGCGACAGCATCTTCCTCCGTGATAGGTTGTGGAGGGTTGCTCATCTCCTCTCCACCAGCAATAAGCTCCTTGTCTGTTTCAGTTGTTGATACTGGAGCATGGGAATAGAGTGAAACACTATTATGCTTGCAATTACTGGTTCAGATTACATTCATCAGATATG